GCAGTAACTTTTACCTTTGCTTTTTCTTATGTAAAAAGTGCTAGGTTTATAAAATATGTAAAACTACACACCAGACAGTAACTTTTACCTTTGCTTTTTCTTTATGTAAAAAGTGCCGGGTTTAAAAAATATGAAAAACTATAAACCAGGCAGTAACTTTTACCTTTGCTTTTTCTTATGTAAAAAGTGCTAGGTTTATAAAATATGTAAAACTACACACCAGGCAGTAACTTTTACTTTTATGTAAAAAGTGCCGGGTTTAATTAAACCCGGCACTTTTTACATAAAGGTAAAATTTACTGCCTGGTTTAAAGTTTTTCATATTCTTTATAAAGAATATGAAAAACCTTAAACCAGGCAGTAAATTTTACCTTTATGTAAAAAGTGCCGGGTTTAAAGAATATGAAAAACTACACACCAGGCAGTAACTTTTACCTTTGCTTTTTCTTATGTAATAAGTGCTGGGTTTATAAAATATGTAAAACTACACACCAGGCAGTAACTTTTATCTTTGCTTTTTCTTATGTAAAAAGTGCCGGGTTTATAAAATATGTAAAACTACACACCAGACAGTAACTTTTACTTTTATGTAAAAAGTGCCGGGTTTAAAGAATATAAAAAGCTATAAACCAGGCAGTAACTTTTACCTTTATGTAAAAAGTGCCGGGTTTATAAAATATGAAAAACTCTAAACCAGGCAGTAAATTTTACCTTTATGTAAAAAGTGCCGGGTTTAAAGAATATGAAAAACTACACACCAGGCAGTAACTTTTACCTTTAGGTAAAGCTTTTACAGGTAGTAACTTTAACATTTTTTAATTGGTCGTAACTTTGATCTTCTTTGTTATATAAAAAGTATCGGGTTGACAAAACATGCAAAAGTAAAGGGCGGGTAATATTGTTTAGTATTAAATTATTCCCCATCAACATGTTGATTCTAACCTACAACTATTACAAAACCAATATTACATCTTTTAATATGTTCCTACAAATCGAACAAATCCATTGTTGCTTTTTTTTGCTAATAATTGCAGATTTGAGAACTTTCCACGCTGCAGGTTTAAAGAACATTTCTACCCTCTCTATATCCAAAGATTTCTCATCACGAAGAGAATCTGGAAAAAAAACTGATTTTTTGATGTCTGACGAACAAATTAGTTTCCCCCCACTCAATGCTAATTCAACAGCTGGAACCTGTACTATGCGGGTTAAAATAAATCTGTCTTTATCTTTAGGTAATAGCTTAATGTATGGTATTGGTTTCAGATAATTCTTTTTTTTAGGGACACCAATAACTGTTGTATTAGCCCCTTTCGGCCGGCCTTTGTTTTTCATTTTTGGCGGCATTAATACTTCTTTGAGATCTAACTTTGCGGGATTTTGAGGAACATCCTTTTCAGAAAGAAGGGGGAAAGTCTCAATAGAATCAATATGTTTATTTGTACTGATAGGGCTTGATTTGATCTTCTCAATGCCTGTTTTAGTGACGTGACAATCAAAGTCCATCAAGTCAACGTTATCAACTTCTATAATATTATCATTTGTCACCAGCGTCACTTCTTCTCCTTTTTGCCATTGTTGTAATATAACCTCTAGTTGCGCTTGTCTTTTTTTGAAAATTACCATACCACCCTCGCTTCCAACAGAAGCTAATAGCTGACAAGTTTTCAATAAGTTTTGATATTTTTGTGCTTGTGTTAAAGCTTTAACCGGTTTTACATCAACTTCCGAAACAATTTCAGCACTTGAAGTTATACTGGTATCATTTCTTGCTCGAAGAGATTGATTATAATATTCCTTAGTCCATCTTCGATTTACTAACTGTACATCAAACATAGGTAGCATCAAAAACTTGCGCAGTTGGAATAAATGGTAACATGGTAATTCCATTTTAGACATGAATCTGCAATTGCAAAACTCTTTTGACGCTATCAAAAACTTAGAATGTTTTATGTTATAGTTTCCAATTTCGTCACTTTTTTCAAAATTAAAAGATGAACCATTTTTAATTTTTTCAAATTGTGAAATAACAAAAGAAAAAGCATAAGGCGTTAAATGTTCCCTGTATAAGATTATATCAGGATGACTTGGTATAGCTATATCGTGTCTTGTCAAAGACATAAGGTGGTGGTGATTTCTGTCATTCCTGATTGCGCCAAGAAATACAAAAAATTCTATAAAAAATTGCATCATACTCGTATGCTTTGTACAAACCGATTTTAATTTGTTGAACATCGATTCCAGACGATTGTTAGTAGTTTCTCCAAGGTTGAAATATAGATCTTTATAAGCTGTGACCCATTGGTGTTTGATAGGATCCCAATTTTTAACAAAATATTCTGTCACTGCAGTTAGTTTTGTATCTAAAAGCATTTGTTTATTCTGCTCGTACACAATACTTGATTTAGAATATGCAATTTTTTGAATTATTTCAAGGCAACGATTTCTATCGGCTGAAGTGATACCCATTTTCTCGCAAGTAATTTCTCTTCGAAAGGAGCGTAAACTGTAAAAACAAAAAATTAAAGCTTGCATAAATATAAAACAAAATATTTGGGGAAAATAACTTGAATATTTTTAAACCCTCTTGTCTGTTTCGCTCAATATCAGAGCTCATCAGCATGCCTAGAGTGTTAAGCATATTACAAATGCCTATAATAACACTCGGACATGGACAGCACAATGATTTACAGTGATAAATAAACTTCATACAAAAAACAACTAAAATTTAAAAACAGATATGGGCGTAATGTGCTACTGATCAAAAATAAATAGATAAACTAAAAACTCATTTTATTTACAGAAAGAAAACTTACCCAAAACGGTTATCTAAAAATGGTTTTGAAAAAAATTAAAATAAGTCTTACCAATGATACAAATAAATTGATAATCTCTGGGTACCTTTCGTACATCTTCTGCATTTGTGAGTCCTGAAAAAAAAGCCCCTTGAACTTTTTATCAGAATCAACAAGAACTTCAACCACAGATCCTTTTCGTTGTTTGAGAAATTCTGCAATGTCATATATTTCATTATCAGAAAATGAAACTTTAGAATATTGACGAAGGTTAGCAATATCTTTTAATATGCATTTTTTGCCAGACGATAACTCAATCTTTTGCTGTAGATGTTTGCTATTTGCTTTCAACTGAATCGCCTCTTTAACGTTTTTCATCATATCTGGAGATAAAGTTCTTTGTTTAGGCAAGTGTTCGTACAGTTCCTGAGAAACCAGATGATTGTGTTCTTCTTGTACACGCACCACTTGTAGGTGCTGATTGTCAACTGAAAGTTCCAGCACAATTTCAAATGGACAACCACAACGGAAGGATTTAGTTTTTCTCTTTCTTTCTAATTCTGGCTGACTCGACTTTCCACTAAACTTGCAAACAAACTGTAAAGTTTGGTAGTGCAATGCCATATTAGCTAAAGCAATTCGTTTAGGAATTCTCTTTTTAGCAGCTTCTAAAGATCTTACTTTACTCTTCACAAGTTGACAATGTCGTTTTAACTCATAATTAGTTTTACAAGCCTCTACCAATTCAATACTTGTAAACTTTTGTCCCACTTTCCAAATAACCTCATCCTAAATGTTAAAAAAAAATGTATTAGAAAAGGTTTAAATTTTATATCCATGTTTGTGTGGTTTGGATGGTTTTCCATAGTGACATATAAATGCCACTATGAAAGAGTTAAAGCATTTTTTTTACAATCGGAAGCCCTTCCTGATGATCAACATATAAAAAAATTATACTTTCAATTACTTTACTGTCACAATTATCATTGATGCCAACTGATTCGTTTTTATCACTTGTTATCTGAATAAGAAAAAAAATCATTATAAGCTTCTAATATAGTTACCGAATCTAAAAACATTTTTTAACAAGTAAATTAACAATTTATATAATCTGCAATGTAAAGCATACATTGCTACTGTCACAATTATAATTGATGCCAACTGACTCGTTTTATTACCTGTTATATATATATATATATATATATATATATATATATATATATATATATATATATATATATATATATATATATATATATATATATATATACAGCAGCGGATCCAGGATTCAGTGGTGGGGGGTAATGTTTGGAGGTTTACTTAGGGGAGGGTTTTGGATGGGGTATCCCCAAAAAAAATTTATGTGAGACAGGCATATAAATTATTATACAATAGGTTTATTAATATCAACTGATTACAAATTAGTGGTGACGACTGCAGAATTTTAGGTAGTGAACCACTGGGTAAACTCACTTGACTAACGTTGTCAACTATTGTAGTTGTAGGACTGGAAAATAAACAAAAAAGAACACGGTGAATACCCTTCTAACATTTTGTAGCATCACCGCTACTGTAAGTCAGGATGAATTTGTGATTTAGTCACTTTTTATTTTTAGTTCACTTTTTACTTTTGAATTAGTCACTTTTTATCACACTAATTATTAGTGTAATTGAGTACACGAATTGCGTAAAGTGTAAAGTTAATTGTCAAATGTCAATACAAAACCAATTTTGTCTGGACATTGGAAAACATTAGTTTTAGTTACTTTACATAAACAAATAAAATACAATTGAAAAAAAACTTTTACACTTTATAAAAAAACTATTACTTTTGTTGAAAATAGTCTGTCATCTTACGCCTTTTTAGTATATTAAGTATATTTAGTAATATTCCATAGTATATTAAGATAGTAAATACAGGCGATTTTAAAACAAGGCGATTCAACACACAAATACTGGAACTTAGCTCATGTGCAAAACGACAGCCAATTTGATTAAGCTTTAAAACGTTTTGATTGAAACCACCACAACACATTCATTTGAGTAAAAAAAAACAATTGAAAGTCTGGTGGGGGTAATGCATTACCCACATTACCCCCCTTCCCCTGTATCTGCGCCTGTATATATATATATATATATATATATATATATATATATATATATATATATATATATATATATACACACACATAGGTGCAAACACACAACTCACATTTGCTGAACATCCAGGTGGTTCATCAATCATAATAGTTGTCTTTATATCTAAATCATTAGAACTTTTAGATGATTTGCCAATATCTTCAAGGGATTTCTGAAATAAATTAATAAAAATAATATATATATATATATATATATATATATATATATATATATATATATATATATATATATATATATATATATATATATATATATATATATATATATATATACACACACACACAGTGTTAGCTAGCCCAATGGTGCCGAGTATAATGCGGAATTCCCAATGGGTTTAAAAATTCCAAAAAACCAATAATTTTATTTTTTTATTTACTTTTTTGGGACAATTTCTTTAAAATACCCAATAATTTGCAGAAAAACAAAAAATATTTCCAATACCGCAAAACCACCCTATATATATATATATATATATATATATATATATATATATATATATATATATATATATATATATATATATATATATATATATATATATATTTATATATATATATACATAAATATATACACACACACCAGAGGTGTACCCTGGGGTTTTTTCCAAGTAGTGACTAAAATATATTTTATAAAATATATTGAATTGCTTCAATAAATTTGACTTTAAAGTTCTTACATTTATTTTCAGAATATATTGAAACTGAAAAATCTACATCTAAAAAAAAATAAAAAAGATATAAACAATATTCTTATTTCGTTGTCAGCTAAATATTTCAATTATTTGATATTTTTTAAAATTTTGAAAGTATTGGTGAACAGCTCTTGGATTTAGGGTCAGCATTTGGAAAAGCTGACCTAACCGTCAATATTAAAGTGTTTGTCGTTGGCAATTTTTTGCCGACCTTGATACTTTACATTTCTACTTTTTATGATGGAACTTTTGTGAATAAATGTAATTGCTGACCTGATGCCAACTTAAAATAATTTAAGATCTGCAATTTTTCGCAGTTTTTTTCTTTCTGAGTGTTGAGCGTTTGAATAATAAAAAATAACTTATTCCTACAACTTGTTGCTACAAATATTAAATGAAAAGTAAATATTGATTAAATACCAGTCTTACCAGTCGTACAATATGCTTCTGGTGAGCTACAGAAACGTTTTTTATCTCTAAAAAGAAAAGAAAAATTATTAATTATATAGTAATAAGTAATAATGGTAAATAAGTTTAAATAAAAAACCAAAAAAAAAAAAAAAAAAAGAAAAAAAAAAAAAAAAAAACATAAACTTTGTATTACCTTTCAGAAATGTAAGCACTCAGAGCTACTTCAGCCTAAATCAAGAATAGGCAAAAATATCATTACGAATTGTATTATTAAAATTTATAATAACGAAATATAAAATAACATTATTTAATTATATAAATAAATAATATTTAATTATATAAATAAATAATATTTAATTATATAAATAAATAACATTTAATTATATAAATAAATAATATTTAATTATATAAATAATTATTCAATAGAATAAAAAATTGAAAAACGAAGATTTAAATATTCAGATTTTAGATTACCTTTATTCTTGACACATTACTAGCGTTAGCAAATAAAAATACAATTGATTCAGGCATTAAAACTTTAAATACATAGTCACTATCCTAAAAAGATCATTACATATATGACAAAAATTAATACTGGAAAATGGAGTATTATTCAAACAATGAGTTTAAAATTTGTTTTTGACTTTGTTTAGAAATGAATAGTTGAATAATATTCCAGATTATGATTACCTTCAACTTGTTAAAAGCTAAAACAAAAGCATTAAAAAGATCATGTGATTGATCTTCTGACAAAAGACTAAGAAGATCTCCGTTACAAAGATTTTCTAAATAAATAAATAGAAATGCAAAAACATTTCAAATAATCAGAAAAAAAATAAAAATAAAAATAAAACAAATGAAATAATAGAGTGTTAAGTCCTATATTTTTATATAATACAAACTTTTATCTTCTCCACCAGCAATAAACCAGTTATGTCTGTAACTGTATAACTGAACATAAAATACAAAAATATTATTTAAGGATTTAGCATTAGTAAGTTGTTATTAATTTTGACTAAAAGTTGATTAGTTGAAGATAAAACTATTTGATTTCAAGTATTTAAAATTGAATACTTGAATAAAAATAAAATATTGCAAAAGATTTACATTAAAATATTACTCATCATTTTGTTTCCAAACTGATGTTTGAACAACTCACAATAAATAAACAAATGTTGAAATATATTTTTAAGAACACAGTATTTAAAGAACTCTGTAGACTTTAAAGTTTGTTTTAGGTATAGACAATAAACGTTTTATGATAAAAGGATAAACAATAACGCTTATTTACTCAACTAGATTATTTGCTTACTAGTAAAGAAAGAAAATTTATAATAGAAGAGATAATTAAATAGTACCCTGAGCTGGCAAAAAGTATATTTGAATCTGCAATCCTACTGCTACGGCAATTGATAAATCACAATAATAGAAGCGTGCTATCCTACTGAGCTATCCGAGCTTAAGTAAGATACTTACAAACTTAAGAAAGATACTTACTTGACCAGAATAAATAGATTTTAGCAATTGAGAAGATGCTATTTCCATAATACTTTTCTTTGTAAACAAATTCAATCCTATAAATATTTAATTATATCCTTGTTTTTATTAGAGTTATTAAAAAAAATTACCACCATAAAATAAAGTAGACTGTATTGTAGATCTTCCACTCACATCTAGACTTAATATTTAAAAAAAATTTCAAACAACTTAGAAGATTGAATTGAAATCTAATACCTGTGAACCTATCAAAATTGTGATCCAAAAATAAAAATAAAAATTTATTTTTGGATCCCAAAATTGTGATCCAAAAATAAAAAATCTCTTACTGAGTCATCATTTAATAAAATCTTTACTTTTTGATTTACTTTAACTGCCAATTTTATGAGTTCTTGCTTGAGGCTTATTTAGACTATATTTATTGAACATAATTTTTTTACCGATATATTTACACATCAAAGTGTATCAATAATTATAAACAAATACGAAGAAAAAATGTATACCTGTTGTAACAAACGTATTCAAGTCTTCAAGGTAGTACCTTGAAAGAAAAAAAAGACATTTTAAATTATAAGACAAATTTTAATCTTGGTTTGTTTTAAATAGAAAACAGAAAAAGTGAAAAAATAAATAAAAAATTTTATACTTAAACATTGACTACAAATAATGGATCCATCATTAACTGAAAATTTGTTGCACAAAGTACATGGTATTTTAGAAGTGTAATCTGTCTAAAAAAAAAATTATTAGATTGTTATCCTTTTGTAAATTAGTATACATTATATAGTACATATATAAATATATATATATATATATATATATATATATATATATATATATATATATATATATATATATATATATATATATATATATATATATATATATATATATATATAAGTAAAGGAATTTGTTCAGAGAAAATTTTTTTTTGAGGGAGGGGGGAGAAGAAAGATGCTTAAATTTTGTTTTCCTGAAATTTAATGTCTTAATCAAGACATTAAACTGATCTTTGGACAAGTGATATAAATAAAATTCATTTTGAAGAAATGTTGGAGTTTTTTTTTTAAATCTAATGGGCTTGGTTTAATCATTTCCAACATGTATGACAAGTTTAATTGAAAAATATTTTGTAGCAGATAACTAATTTTTATCACATAAACCTAATTTACGTACTATATATATAAATATATATAGCACGTAAAGTACTATATATATTTATATATATAGTACGTAAATATATAGTACACTATATATATATATATATATATATATATATATATATATATATATATATATATATATATATATATATATATATATATAAATATATATATATATATATATATATGTTTGTAGAAATAAGAATACGCATACCTAACTTAAGTACTTAACAAAATAAACAACCTCCCGGTTTTTTGGTGCTAAAAAAGCTAAAAAACTTTTTAAAAAATATCTTGCTGTTTGTCAGTATAAATATATGTATATATGAGCTTACATGATTAAGCTTGTGAGATTAAAAATCTCAATAGGCTATTCAGATTTTTAATCTCTCAAGCTTAATCAGTTAAAATGAGCTATAGTCAATTACAACAATTACTGTTTACAATACAATTATAATAATTAGCTACATTTTGACTAGCAACATGAATAACTGTTTTGTTTGTGTGTTGACAAAAAAGAAAGATGCCCATCCAATTTTTTTTTTGGGGGGAAGAGATTAAAAAACTGTAAATCAATTTCTGAGAAAACAATAGTTTTCCCAAACCAGTTTTTTTCATAATATACGAACAAAACAAGTTGAATAAAGCGTTTTGGTTATTTAGTAAAAAGGTCATTGTGTAAGATTTTGTATTTATGTCTGGTGTTAATTATGACATAATTTATGTCAGGAGATACTGTCATAAATCTTTAACTTTACATTACTAGTGTTTTAGAACTACCAAAGCTACTTAGAATGATTAGGCATTTTTATATATATATGTTTACTTGCAGTATATAGAATATATAAACTGCTAGTATTCATAAATCTACTAGAGTATAATTATTTTATTGACTATATAATATAGTCAATAAAACATATATAATATACTATATTAGAAGTATGTACTATATTAGAAGTATGTACTATATTATCAGTATGTCATATAATAGTACTATACTATATTAGCAGTATAATATACTATATAACTAATATAGTATATTTTAGTCAATAAAAATAAAAACAAAATAACAAACTATTTCTCTTACCAATAGTTCTTTGTAAGTTTCCATGACAGTAAATACGAGGCAAATACAAATTTATATGTACAATTTATATATATATCTTATATTAGGTTATTATATATTTTATATTTTACAAAAAATGCAAATATAAGTTACCACGAGGGAAAAAATTTAAAATAAGAATCTAGCGATATTACGCGCATGCGTACATAAACTGCCGGGCATGTAGGTTTTACGCTTTTACTACCCGGCTGCCGGGCATGCAGACACTTTGATAAATAAAAGGTTAGATGAGAAAAAACAACTTTTTTCGGTTGATGAGTGCCGAAACTGATAAGTGCCAAAAACGGCATGAAACATAAAGTTTCATGCCGTTTTCGGCACTCATCAGCCATATATTTAAATCAAGAAAAAATCGTTCGAAAATACAATTAAAAAACCATTACAAAATTCAAAAAAAAAACAATGGAATGAGTTCTGACGTCAAATAATTATAATACAAATAATAGCAATAATAATAATAATGATAATAATAGTAATAATAACAACATTAATAATAATATTATGGAAAAAACATCTATTCTAATTGCCAGTGTCAAATTGAGAAAGGAGGAATCTGTTTCTATGTCTGCACTTAGAAACAATCTCACTCCTTTTATTTAGTAGATTAGTATTTTTAGAATTTAGGATTTCATATTTTTCGGTGAGACATAATTTATAAGATTTGCATGTTGGATTATATACTTTACATAGCCTGAGAATTTTCCACTTTACTATAGGAACTAAATTGGGTTCTTTTATTTTCCATACCTACTTTGACAGCTCAGTATCATTTTTGTATTTTGGGATGTTAAAAGATTTAACGTGGTTAGCGTATCTCAATTTAAAAGAAGTCTTACTTACACCGATGTAGGATTTTTCGTTAGGAGATGAATCACTAGTGGTGGTTACAGTTGCTTGGTATACAATGTTGCTTGTTAAACATCTATTGGACAACGGGCAGAAATTTTTATCTAAGCAGTTACAATTTTCTTGATTAGAGTTTGTATCGTTGTATAAAATGTATTTGTTGTGCGAATTTATGATCGATTTCACACTTGGCATACAACTGTAGCTAACTTTGACTGTGTTCCTGTTAAAGATTTTATGTAGTTTGTTATTTTTAGGAAAATGTTTGCCAATTAATTTCAAAAAACATTTTCCCACGTTGGTGCTAACATTTTTGCTAAATGGAGGATTAAACCAAATGATGTTGCGTGCTCTGTTCCGTTTTTTAGTTGATATTGCTTTAGGATTATATGTTAGATTACATTTAAAACCAGACTTTAATAAAGCCTCATTATATAGAGGAACAGCATATTTCTTTGGTAGAAGAATTTGTAGATAATCTAAGTTCAACCGAGTGTGGTATTTGTTTTAGTATACTTGGAGGGTGATTTAAATCAGCATGGATATAATTTAATGTATTATCAGGTTTGAGATGAGGTTTAAAGGTGCACTCACTAAGATTTAGAGTGACGTCGAGGTAGTTGACAATTTTCATGTTGCATTGTATAGAAATCCATAAGCCATTGTATTTAAATATTTCTGAAAGATTTCAATGGAACTTGGTGGTAGATAAAAAATATATGTAAAAAACTATCTGGGTAGGTTTGCAAACTATCTGAGCATTTCTTCAGCAATAATTTAATGTGAGAACAACAACCAAGTTTTTAATTCAAATAAAAGCAATACAAAAATTACCAACCACACATAAATGTTATATATTAATCAAGTTTAACTATTATTTTTTTCAAAAATAATCTAAATTTAGTAATGTTTCTAAAAAGAAATACCACAAAAAAACGTTCGCCTGACATTACTTAAAAAAAAGTTCAAAAAACCTGGCACAGAATTTTAGCACAAATTCGGTTCCGTAAAACACGGATTTCCGCGTACCTATAGGTACGCGGAAATCCGTGTTTTACGCGGAAATCCGTGTTTTACAAATATAAATTTTCACACTCTATAGAGTGTGAAAATTTATATTTGTAAATTCTCGATTTAGTTTTATATATAAGTCTGGTCACTATTTTATGCAAGTCTTGCCCCTTGTTTGATAAGTTTACTCATTCTAGCCAATTTTTAGAGAAAGTTCATATAAAATTAATAAGAACGCCAGATTAAGAATTTTGTTTTTTGTTACTTTAAAAACAACATGTTTCCGCTTTTCTTTAATCCTAATGTTGACATCACGTGATATAATATTCAAAACTTTATTGGTTTTTGCTTATGTCGATTCGCAAAAAGTCAAAATGAATCCGACTTTTTTTTTCGCTGCAGCGAAACGCTGTAGCGAAAAAAAATTAATATAATCGCCGAAAATGTTTAATCTGCGCATGCTTAACGACGAAAAACGGCCTTTACAAAAGAGTTGTGAATCCGTACCCTGAGTCTTGTTTTCCAGCCTGCTAGATAACTGCTAGATAACGGTATAGTTAATAGACTTAAAGTCTACTATAGACTATAAATAGACTTAAAGTCTATTAACTATGAAAACATCTGTTATCTCGATTTTCAAAAGTTCCTCAAGAACCTTGAGGAACTTTTGAAAATCGAGATAACAGAAAATCATTGGCCCAATACTTTTTTTAATTTATATTTTGAAATTCTTACATCTAAGCCTTACAATGCCACCTTAGACTCAGGTAGCATTGTCCGTGGCAAAGGTGGTTATGTTGGCAAAGGTAGCTAAGATGGCTAGGTTAGGCTAGGTTACGCAATGTCAGGCTAGGTTGGGCAATGTTAGGCTAGGTTGGGCAATGTTAGGCTAAGGTGGCTGAGGTTAGGTTAAGGTGGCTATGGTTCATGGATTAGGTGGTATTGTTCGCTGATGATACCACTAAATCTAGTCTTGATTAGAAGCCAACACTTTCTGATTGCTTGGGGGGGCATTTGAGCTTGAAATAATCTGATTTCTGCTACAGCATGGAGCTCTCATTGGCTGTTGCGTCTCTTGTGTCTCTTATGCCATTTACTAAAATTCATTCTCATGGTATTAGTTGTTCAATTAAGTCTCATCTCTTTACTGTTTCTCTTTCTAAGTGTTCTAAAAATTCCTTTTTATCTCGTTTTTTTCCTTTTTCGCCACATTTTGTTTTCCTAATTCATATAATTTGTAATCTTTTAAGTTGGGTGTTAATTGTTATCTTGCTTTATAAACTTCATCTTTTCTCTTCTAATAACTTCCATCTCTAATAGTGTGTGTGTGTGTGTGTGTGTATAAAAATGGCATAAAATATTTTTATCATTATGCTATGTCATGATAAAAAAAATAATTAAAAAGCAATATGTATAATTTTAATATTATAATTATAATATAGTTTCATATTATGCAATACATATTGTATAGAAGTTACTCTTTTTTGTTATTTTCTTATTTTCTTTTACTATTGAGAAACACATTAGTATCTATTTTTTGAATAAAAAAAACCCTACTTTGTCTTCCTTTTATTTAAGTAAACAATTTTTTCAAATGCAGATAATACTAAGTTTTTTAAACCAATTAAACCGGAAAAAACTGCAAACTATATTTGAAAATAAATTGATGATTTGTGATCATTAACAAATCCAATGGGTAGATCAGTAAATAATATTTTGATAGATAAAAAGTAATAGGCTAATAGATAAAAATTAGTTCTGTTTGTAAATTTTTTTTTGGGTACAAATGGGTTAAAAATCAGTGTCAAGGAGCATCATATTAGCAGAAATAGGTATTGGGTTTTCAATGTTCGAAAAAATAGTTGTTTTATTTAGCGCTTGCAAAAAGATATTTGGTTTTTAGCATTAGCAAAAACTATGTATTGTATTTAACATTAAACAAATAAGTTATTTAAACTCAATCTCAAATCTTTAATCTTGTCATTAATTTTTGGTCATGAGTTAACTCGAACATTAATTAACAATACAGCTGATTTTATTTTTAAAAATGTATTTATGTAGTATATATACTAAGCTAAGTCTTATACTTAAAAGTTTCAAGAAACCAATTTTCTGTTATGACAATTCTTTACTTGTAATGTTATGTGTACATTATTATTGTTATTATTATTATATAAAATCATATTATTATTATATAAAATATTATTATTATATAAAAAATATTATTATTTTTTATTATTATTATATAAAATCAATAACAGTTGAACAACTTTGCCTTTATAATTACTTTATAATCTATATAATAAAATCAATAAATTTTTTTTTAGCCTTTTATTATTCCTGGTTTATTTTCCCTTTTCTAATGCTTGAGTAGTATTTGCCGATGGTATAACACGATGGATATATTAGGAGACAACTTTGTTAAATATGTTGCCTTCTATAATATCAAAGCCTTTACTTCCTTGTTGATTTGCTGCTTTTTCAATAATATGGTTTGAGTCGAAGTTCATTTTCAATATGTTAGCCATCGATGGGTGACATATTCCTGACAACGCAGACTTGACTACTCTTGTTGCATGAACATTTCTTCTCTCTCCCAAGGTGTAGGGCTTTAGTTCATCCAAAAGGTGAGCTGATTTTTGTATTATGTCAAGCCTCTTTAGTTGTGCTTTGGGTTGACCAAGGTAAAATATGCTGGCATATTTTAATTGACTCTGTATAAGTCCTTTATACGCTAAATTTAAAAGTTACTTCAGAAGCCTGACAGATGCTTTTGCTATTATTCTCATACTAGAGTGGCATTTTTTGTCGGTTGTATCAATTTGTTCTTTGAATTAGAGATGTTGATCTATAGTGACCCCTAATAGCTTAGCATGAGTTACTGGTTTAATCTCAATATTTCCAATTTTAATGTGTAAGTTATCAGGAAGTTTTTTTTTTGGTGATTTGAACACTATCTGTTGTTTTTTGCTGGAGTTAAGAGTGAAATCATAATCAACACAGAACCTATTTGTATATTCAAATGCTTTGATTATTTTCTCAGTGATAACTTGTTGTGAGCTGTCTGCAGCATTGGGTAATCATTTTTCCCTTCTATGTAATTTTGAAATAGTATTGCAGCTTTTTGGCTTAATCATATTTTAGCAAGCTCGTTTAGTAGATTTTGATGTGAAACACTATCAAATGCTTTTGTCAAATCTATTATTAGGGTGCCTACAAATTTGGTCACATCAGTATGGCCATATAAATGAAGTCCTATCTTTGCACTCAACTACTGAAGCTAGATGGTTATTTAGATTATTTAAATTGATTGTATTTTTATCAATAACATGACACAAATTAAGTACTAATATAACATTCTTGTTTTTAAAATTAAACAGAGTATTTTGATATATTTATGTATTTAAAAAAGTTTTTATTATTTTTGTAATTTAATATTTCATTTTTTATTTTATTTAGATTTTTGCTTTGATTTGTTTTCATTTGGTGATTGCAATTCAATATACATATGGTAAGTTTAAAAAAATTATTTTTTTAAATTTTTTTTTAAACTAATTTGATATTTAATATCTTTCTGTGTTAATGTAGAAAAAAAAAAATGAAAATATTTTTGCATAAAGCAGCAGACTGTGAAAAAAAAAAGTGAATATAAAAACTTTTTAAATATAAAAAATAGTTTTTAGTGTTAGTTTTATATTTTTTTGACTGCAAACTCATTGGTCTGCAGTTAAAAATTTTTTATCAAGTATTTTTTTTTGAAAACATGCTTTTTTAGTTATAATTCATTATATTTAAATGTTGTAAAGTTTTCCATGAGGTAATTGCAAGAGCAGTAAAATTACAATATATTAATGCAGATTTTTTAAAAATTTATTTATAAACAATAATCTGTTATTAAAGAATGGAATTCAAAGTTTCAGTAAAACAAGTAGTTTAGTATTTTTAGTATTAAAACTTTAGGTGGTGATTACTTAAAGAAATGTGGGTCAATGTCAAACATGGGTCAATGGGTAACCACTTTGACCAACTGAAACTTAGATGTTAATAGCCTTTTACATTCTCCAGTAAAATAATAATAATATTATATATTTAATTAATAATAATTATAAGATAATAATAAAAATAATATTTTTAATAATAAACACAAGAACCACCATATAAATAAAAAAACAACAACAATAACAATTATAGTAGCAATTATAATAACATTAAAAATCAAAATTATAAGTCAAATGTTATTTATAAACACAATAGCTAAATATACAAATGAATTAGTTACAAACAGTTGACTGAAAAATGTAACATGCTAAGGAAGACATAATACAGCTATATAAATTGAAAATAATAAAATAGGAATAATAATAGTAAAGTTAAAAGTAACTATAATTGTGGTTACGATAAATATTTAAAATTACTAGTAATAATACTATAACAAAAACAATATCAAAAATATGATGAAAATTGAAGATAAAATAAAGAAAAACGAAAAAGCATTAAAAAAATGAGAAAGTTCAATATTGTTACATGCATACACAAACATAAATATAAAGATATATACACATATTTACCCATATGTATAGATACACACATATTTTTACATAAATACACACTCGCGTGTACATACACTTACATACATATGTATATGTACACATATAGATACATATACATATACTGCTTAAAAATAAATATATATATATACTGCTTTAAAATAAGTACATATACATATATGTATATATATAATTATATATATATAAATGTATATATATATATATATATATATATATATATATATATATATATATATATATATATATATATATATATATATATATATATGTATATATATATATATATATATATATATATATATATATATATATATATATATATATATATATATATATATATATATATATATATATATATATATATATATATATATATATATATACAGTTCTATAAATTGTTGGCTTTGAGAGTATTTTTAAAAATACTCTCAAAATTTTAAAAAGATTCGAAATATTTTTAAAAATTTAAACAATGTTTTTATTTTTATTTTTTAAATAAAATGTGTATATATGTATGTATATATATATATATATATATATATATATATATATATATATATATATATATATATATATATATATATTTATATATATACGTATATATGCATATATCTATCTATCTATATATATATGTATATATATATATATATATATATAAATATACATTTATATATATATATATATATATATATATATATATATATATATATATATATATATATATATATATATATATGTATATTTATATATATATATATATATATAATATGTATATATGTGTATATACTATACATACATGTGTATATGTATGTATATATATATATATATATATGTATATATATGTATGCATATATATGTGTATATATATATACATATATATACATATATATATATATATATATATAAATATATATATATATATATATATACATTTTTTATATTATTATATATATATATATATATATATATATATATATATATATATACACATTTTTTATATTATTATTATATATATATATATAAAACTTCATGCAACAAAGATAAAGATTAAAAACTTTTGATGGGCCCACATTGTAGGACCCACATTGTGCTACAACTAATCTTAAATACCATTTTATAAGAGATTTCATAATCTTTGATTTTAGTTTTCGTATTTAGAAAGTCCAGTGTCATTTTTATATTTGATTGCATTGATATAAAATGGTTAGAATATCTTAATTTAAATGGGGTTTCACTTATATTAAAATAAACTTTGAATTTATTTCTCTTTGAATTCAGGATCTCTAGAACTTACAGTACAATATTGTTAGAAAGATGTATTTAAGATATATATTCACAAATATTTTTATCTATGCAGTTACATTGCTTTGATTTTAAATTTTTATTTAAATGTTCTAGTTTACATCATTTTTCTTTCAGATGTCTACTGCATTTGGCAAATTTATATGTTAAAGTTTTACTAATATTGGGATAGCTTGTAAGGGTTAGTGTTATGGTCATCAAGCATGATTACTAGTTTTTAAAAATCAGAAGCAAGCATAGGTGTAAAATCCATCATGTTTTTCTGGAGTATGACTGGCTTGGCATAAGTTTTTAACAGTTAATTAAAAACTATAGTTAAATTGCTATAATTATTTAAACTAAATAAAATTTTTAGACAAAAAAATTTTTATTTAGTTTAAATAATTTATATAAAGATATGTAGGTAGGATGTAATACGGTCAAAAAGTTGGATGGGTTTCTCTGGAGGCCCATGAAAAATTAAAAAATGTATAAATTATTTATAAAAAGAAATTTGTTCTGAAAATCAGATAAACTTAATGTTTTATAGAAAAAAATTTTGATTAAAATTAAATAATTTTTTGTTATAAAAGCATAGCCCATAAGACAAACATCTTCTTCTGCAGCAACAGTAATTGTGTTTAGAAAATTGTAATGCTTGATGACTGTAACACTAACTTTTACAAACTAGGCCAAATATTATCAAAACTTTAGCATATAAATTTGCCAAACGGTCACATAAGAGCAGTCAAAACTTAAAAAAATGAAATACTCTAAATAAAGGAGATTTGTCTTTAAAATAGAGCATATATAGACAGTTGTCTAGACAAAAAAAAAATTGATATAAGAGTATTTAAGACTATACTAATACAAATAAGACAGGCACTATACCCAAAATACAACAAAAATTTCAATATATATTATTCAAAATATTGAATAATATATATTAAAATAAATACAAATATATATTAAAAAAAAAAAGTTTATACGCAATTTTTATTACATCGTATAACAAGAAAATGACTTTTAAAGAATATATATATACATGTATATATATATATATATATATATATATATATATATATATATATATATATATATATATATATATATATATATATATATATATATATATATATATATATATATATATATATATATTTAAACATATATATATTTAATATATATATATATATATATATATATATATATATATATATGTATATATATATATATATATTTATATATGTATATATATATAGAAAAAGATATAGATATATATAAATATATAAATATATAGTTTATTTACAACTTTTACCATCAATCTAAACTGCTTTTCTCTAAATCATTTTTTAAATTTTGTTTCAGAAATAGTACAAGTCAACTCATTTACTTTTGATACATCTTATAATACGCTATCATATCCTTGTAATTTTCAACTAGATAATGGATTAAGAAATCGAGATTTTTATATACAGAATGTTACTCTTCAGAACAATAAACCATGGTTGTTCAGTTTAGCAGAGGAATACATTGTGGTTAATGCTTCTGTAGCTGTTAGATATGGCGATTATAGTTTTATTGTAAAATTAAATTCTTATGAAGATACACGCTGTTCATCAAATTCATATAATGATGCAAATCAATGTTTTAGAGTGAGCCAATACAATTCTATTTTCGATGAACATTACTACAATATTAATGTTGGATTCAATAGTGCTATTACAAAGTATGTTAAATTGTCAACTGTAAACGATTATGAAATGATTCTCTACTTTCTTGTGTATACAAAACAATTAATAAAGCCTTGTAAGTAACAATTTATTGATTTATTAATCATTTAACTTTTTGGAGATAATAATGCATATATTCATACAATAACATTTATAATCAAATAACAATATATAAATTTTAATCAAACTCTAAACTTACTGATTATTTTTAGTTAACTAAAAATAAATGAAATTTACTTTTTAGATAGCATTTGTTAACATTAAAGTTGTTAAGATAGCATCTGTTAACATTGTGCATATGTTTGCATAGGACTGGGCTTTAAAACTCTTGTTCTTGGCCTTGACCTTAAATCTCTTTGCCTTGTCCTTGTCCTTGGCCTTGTAACTTTTGGACTTAGCCTTGTAACATGTGGTCTTGGCATTGACCTTGGCTTTACTACTTTTGACCTTGTTAACAACTCTGTTAATTAACAAGGTCAAAAAATTTAGTGTGTGCTTGATATTTCTACAATCATTATGGATTATAAGGTACCACCCAATCATTATCTACATTGTTGTCTTTGATATTAATAACCAAGCCATTATTATGACGCCTATAGTGTGAATAACCATTATGAACTGTTCAGAGTTGACATTAAATTCTTTAGGATATTCTTTGCTGCATACTCCATCTTTTATGCAGGGTAAATTCTGATTTAGTATGGCACATAGACTATAAACAATGCAAATTTTAATGACACTATAAAATTCCAGATTTAATTTACAATTGAATCTGGAATTTTAGCAGATATTAAATTACTTATATCCTTATAGTGAAATAAAATATGAAATGTTTGCCACATTTTTGAAACTTAATAACCTAAACAAGGGTTACAACTTTTCCTAATAAATTATGCTTCAAATTTATTATTGGATAGGTTATTTAATATTTGAAAGATTATTAATAGTGAAAATTCATCAAAAAAATGAGTTTTAAAATAAGTTCATTGTATATAAGCAACAAAATACTAATTTTAATAATTATAGTTGACAGTTAAATAATAACAGTTATCAATATGATAATTGTATTAATTATTATATTAATAACTAGCATACTGAACCCCTAAATTACACTGATTATTGCTATAATTATACCTTACTTCTATATTTTTTAGTAAGTGGTAGAAAAACAATACATATTGTCTATCTAAGTTATAAATAAAAAAATATTTTATAATATAACTTAAAAAAATTTTAAACACTTTTGGTAGTCATAAAAAATAAATCTTTGTTTTTAATTAACTGTTAATTTTCAATACTTTATAACTTCTTATTGTATAATTGTAAACTTATATAAAAAAATAGTAACAGACTTATAAATTTTTTTCTTTATTAAGTTTCTATTAAGCTTTTATTTAATTTTTTTACAGACCACTTGGAGCATATAAGGAACTTCTCCCTGTTTTTTAATTTAAATGTTAAATCTTTTAGCCTATAAAAAAAAAGTTGTCTTTTTTTATTTTGCCGCAATCTAATTCAGATCTAAAAATTAAACTTCATAAAATTAAAAATATCTATTAAATTTCAAAAATGTTCAATTTTTTACTTTATAAAATCATAAAAAAAAAAAAAAAGTGTAAAAGCAAGGATTTGAACCACAACTTCAATACAAATCAAAGTCAAAATTAAAGGAGATATTGCAGCTTATCAATTTATATATGTTGCAGCTTATCAATTGATATATGTTGCAGCTAATCAATTGATATATGTTGCAGCTTATCAATTGATATATGTTGCAGCTTATCAATTGATATATATTGCAGCTTATCAATTTTAAAGTAAAAGTTTAAATTTAAAACTTGATATATGTTTTAACATATTTGGTTGATAGCCGGAGGCTTGATATATGTTTTAACATTACAGAGTTTGAAGTTTACATAGATTAGATATTTGCATAAGGAAAAAGACTGGATTAATAAAATTTTTATAGCATGAAGGGGCAGATATAGTAAATGCAACTTGTTGAATAAAAAGCCAAGTAAAATATAACATGAACTTTGAATTAAAAAAATGTACTTTAGGATGTATAAATGTTTATGCAGCCTTGGTCACAAACCTGGCCCCTGCTATATTTTATCAAACCCAGCTCTGGCCCCGGTCAAATATCAACCTCGGTTGTTTACTATCATGAATGGGTTTATATATCATATCATATTTTAATATTCTATATTAAAATATGATATGATTGATAGAAGTTATTAATGTCATAATTAAATAATATAATTAATAATGTAATAATTTGTTAATATGATAATAATAAAAAAAAAGATTTAAAAAGTAATAAGTTTTCATTATGTTTTAAATTAATGATCTTGCAGTGCTAATGAATTTTTACTTGTCAGTATTTTAAAAAGCAATTATTTTGATAAACTTTATTAACAACTTTGATTCTTTTTATGAATTGTCTGAAATACAAAATTATATTTATTCAATAAGTTATACAAATGCATACAAAATTTCATTATTTTTTATTATTAAATTTAACAAAATAATTCTTTATTTGAAATTTTTTTATGCTTTCCTATCATGGCTAAATTTTGATTTTTTTGAACAAAAAATTTGAAATATAAAGAATTAAATATCAAGAGAGAGATTAGGGAAGAATAATTGGGTCTGACCAAATGCTTGTAATTTTAAATAAGTATTAGATAAATTCTTAAAACAATTTGTGCTCCATATTCTTGTTGTGACAAGTTCAATTTTTTAGAAATGTAACTTTTACATAGTAAACCCAAAGCCTCAATAATTTCATATAAACTTACACACAGTGCAATTGAATTATAAATTTTATAATTAAAATCAATACTCTATGACACTTTTCATGAAATAGGTCATGTAAGAAAACTTCAATAGGTTAAGTAAGAAAAGATGAATTGCTTTTATTTAAGACTTACTTTCATAAAAAAAATTATGAGTTTAAGGTAGTTTACACTAATCATTTATTTAATGTAGCATTAATGTTTATTGCATAATTAGTTTTAAAACAGTTTAAACTACCATATATATTCATAACCAGAAAGTTTAATAGTTCAATTATAAACTAGATTTCATACAAATTAAATTTTTGGAGTATTTGTACTAGCACTGGGAGGAACTTATTCTACACTCTTGCTTTATTTTTGTAAGCTTATCAGTATTAACAATAGTAGTAACAACTGATTCTATATATATATATATATATATATATATATATATATATATATATATATATATATATATATATATATATATATATATATATATATATATATATATATATATATATATATATATATTTATATATATATATATATATATATATATTTTTTGCCAACCTAAAGCACTTTCAGGTCTGCATTTAGATTGGTATTGCCGACCCTAAATCTCTAATATATATATATATATATATATATATATATATATATATATATATATATATATATATATATATATATATATATATATATATATATATATATATATATATATATATATATAAATATGTATATATATATATATATATATATATATATATATATATATATATATATATATATATATATATGTATATATATATATATATATATATGTATATATATATATATATATATATATATATATATTACATATGTATATATATATATATATATGTTATATTGTAAACTACTAATAATATTCACTTTTCTACTTTCAGAAAATGCACATGCTGATATAAATGCTATTAGATTTTTCACTTGAATTGAGCGCTTATTTTATAAAAAAACGACATTCTTTTTTACAATAGCAAGATAATGAAAAATATAAAAAAACAATTTACAAATACTTTAAAACCTGTTTAATGTGTTGTAATTATTAAGATTTTATTCATGTTGTAATTAAATTATATTTTTAACCACATTAAAAATTATTTAAACTAATTTAGCAAAAATTATTAATAAAATGTAAATTCGGTATTTGAAAAAGATTATATTTCCTTAAAACTTATTTTCTAAAACAATCATATTTAAATATCCTTTTGTTTGTTTATCACAATTTATTTATTTATTTTAAGTTTTACATATTTAGTGTTGTATTTTTAACAAAGGTTATAAACCATTTATAAATAGTTTTTATCAGTTACCAATAAGATATTTCTAAATGTTTTTTTCCTTAAATTTATTTCACTATTTATTATATTTATTTTCTTAAACTTATTATGCAAAAAAAGCTTTTTGATTAATTAGAAACAAAAGGAAAATTTGTGAACAAAATTCTCTTAAACAAAAGCACTTCTCCCTTTTTATTTCTAAAAAAATGAGTTTTTAATATCTGTTTGCTTTTAATAATCTATGATAATCTATTATTGAGAGACATATTTTTCGCGATAAACTAGGTAGCAAACGATTAGAAAAAAACTTTAATAAAAATTGTAAAACTTTTTTACATTTCTTCAAAACTTTTTAATTTAAAATCTCTTAAAATTTTTTTTTTTTTTATAAAACAATTTGTTTCTTTAAAAAGTTCTCAGCTGCGATTAAATGCATTTTTTTACGACCTTATATTTTCTGAATAAACGTCACCTAAATGAAGTTAAAAGTTAATTTAAGTAATCCATTAAAGTTTTTGTCTAGCTGAACACTTTAAACATTTAAAAAAAAAGTGCCTTGCACAACGCCTCATAAAAAAGCCTGTTGAAGTATATTTTTTTGGAAAATTTAGTTCCAGGAAATTTTTTATTAAATAGGTTTAAATTCTTGTGCAATTTTCTGGGACCACTCATTAAGCACAAATTTCATAAGTGCAAACTGGTATAAGTACAGAGCACTTTCAAAAACTTACATAAGTGCAAATCAGCATAAATATGAATTGGCATAAATGCGCCATATGAGTTTGTTAATATTGGCTTAAATGCAAATTGGCATAATTACAAATCAATATAAGAACAACATGCTAATTTGATGATGGCTTGTTTTAGCAGCAAAAGTTAGAATCACTTATTAATAGTTTAAGAGAGTTCCTTGGTTATTTTTTTTTCAAACCTGAAAGCTATTTTTCAACTGTTGCAACATTAAAAGTTTGAAGAATGAATTTTATATAGAGCTGAAATATGAATTCTTATTTCCCTTTTCAAATGCTAAATGTAATTGTATCTTTTTGTATTTATGGTGTCAATATCTCAACTAATCTATAAATTAAAATATATATAGAAAAAGCGAGGCCATTTGGGTATTATAAAATTGATTAACTCAAGCAAAGAGCAACTAACTTAAGTAAAGTTAACACAAGCTTTACACCTGAATTAACTTTAATTTTTAATTTTTTAATATGTTTATATTTTCAATTTTACTTGGCGCACTTATGCCAAATTCACACTTATGCCAATGTTTGCATATTTATTTGTCGCACTTATGTCAATAAGTGGGGCACTTATTTCAATTGTTGCATGCCTCTTTTTACTTGCCTCCATTTCAATGGAGGTGGATTAATGCCTCCATTTCAATGGAGGTGAATTTCAATGGATTAGTGTAAACTACCTTAAACTCATAATTAAACTCATAAGAGGCATGCAACAATTGTTGTATGCCTATTTTTACTTGCCTCCATTTCAATGGAGGCAAGTAAAAAGAGGCATGCAACAATTTTTTTTTTTGAATAGCATTTCATAAATTAATTTCTTTTAGCATTAAGTATTCAGTTTAAATTTTTTTAATATTGTATAAAATTTGTTTTGATATAAAAAAAATTTAAAACCTGGTTATTATCAAACTTCTTTTTTTTTAATTAAGTGAAAATCTGTGTGCACGAGTGTTACTTTAAACAAATAAATTTAATTATAATTATTATTAGTAGTTTGAGCATTATTTATTGTAAGTTTAAATTAATATGCATTTTTATTTATTTAAAATTATTATTTTCAAAAGAATACAAGTTTGTTAATTTTCAAGCATTAAGTTATTTTTATGCGTTTAAGTCATGAAGAACTATTACTCAGATGAAAATTTAAACAAAAAATAAAATAAAAAACTTTATTACTACAAAAACAAAATTCCATTTAATTAAAGTTTGTTGCAATAAGGTTTGATGGTGTGTTTTTTCTTAAAAGTATAGTTTCTTCAAATATTTTAAATGTTATCCTTTTCTTTGTCAGCTAAGTGCTTGATTCTGTTTTATTGTATTCTAACTGATCCAATTCTTTGCTTTAGTAAAAAAGCAGCAGAGTTAGGCTCATGATCAAATCGTTTTTTTACTTTTGTTATCAACAATTTTTGAAAAATTTTATTTTTTGTCTTTTTTAGCCATTTCCTAATATTGCATGATTAAGAAATGCAAGGAGCATCATTAATAAATAGAATTCAATGCTTTAGTAAAAAAACATTTTACTGTTTTAAAACAGTTTTTTTAATACGCTTTGTAAAAATAAACCAACATTAAAAAGTTTGATGACCAACTAGCTAAATTTCTTTTACCTATTCTTTGTATTAGCTTGTTTGTTTTGTTGAAATATTCAAGCAATTTTAATAAGCTTCTTTAGCAAATGAACAAAGCAATTATAAAATAGTTTTTAATCATTTATAAAATGTTAAATTTATAGAATATCTCAGAATATTATGTATAATAATATAAAACTTTTGGTTTGTACAAATGGAGACTTTTCTGCTGACTTATTTAAACTCTAATTGATATATGATACTTTGATCCCTAAATTTATATTCGTCAGCAAATCAATTTCAGAAGCATCAATCTCAGTGTTTTAAATAGTTAGTTTATTTTATTTAATATTAATTTGAATAGGATTTATTTCTTCAGCTTGAATTTCTTTGATTTCAGAATCAATTTTGTTTTCAGGGGAACCTTTTGATTTCTAGTCATTTTCATCCTTATTGCCTTTCTAAAACCAATCTTTCCAAAAATTCTCTCCAATCCAATTAAAAGTTCTATAAAAACCTTTACTTTTGTTACTGACACCTATTAATGTCACAGTTTTGGCTTTTCTAAGGCAATTTGTGAATATTTTTACATCTTTTCAACTAACTTTTTTTTTATAATAAATAATTTTATAGACAAAAGACTTCTCACATGGCAAATGAATTTTTTGACACTCTAAAAGTCATTTTAGATGCATGTTACAAAGCTCTTGGATTGGCATATTGAATGAAAGTACATATTTAGTTAAATCCATGATATCGTCATCTAAACATGAATCATCTTCATTATCTAGACTTAAATCATCATAAACCTTTTTCCAATATTTTTTCCAATATTTTTTGCTGTAACATTGTCTAGATTGAAAATACTTAAAAAACTCACTTTGTAACTCACAACTTAGTAGTAGTAGTAACCTAGTAGCTTATATAATATGCTTTAATTATAAGTGTTATGTTTAATAGTAAATACAAACAAGTTGTAATTAATCCTTTTTTTCCTGGTTTGGAGTCAATTTCTGTACAGCAATAAAAAAAAACTAAAATTACTTTTTGTGTCACCAAGTTTTAAAATTTTACCAGGAAACTTATTTTTTAAGTTATGTCAAATTACATCTATCTCATAAGCATATAGCTTAAAACTTCAATTTTTTGGTTAAACATTGCTTATGCTTTTATTGCACAAAGGTTGACCTTTATTATTAAGAATTGACAATGCACTTAAGGCGCTACTACTTTTATTTGAATTTATTTACAGACTGCTTTTCCTTGTAAATTTTTTCTTGAGTTATTTGACAGTGTCTATGATCATTATTGGTACGTTAGAGGCTGATCTTATTTTTCTTGTGGTGGGCAGGTTGATGCAAAAAATCTAAAATAAAACCTTATTAAGCAAGTAAACAATATTATTAAACAAAACTACATTGTATTGTACATATAAATTAAGTTAAGACTCAAATGATTTATTTTATTTATTTACTTAACTTATTTACTTTACATAGAAAGATGATAAATATGAATATACATCTTTCTATGTTAAGTAAATAAATTATATATACATTTTTTATAAATTTATTTAGCTTATTTTGATGCACCTGATGCAAGCATATATTCAATAAGTGAGGCTTCTTTTTTTTCTACTACTCCAAGTATATTCTTGGATGCTATCATAATAGCATTAAATCTAACCACCACTGATATTCAACCTATAAGTCCAATTAATACTGAGTTTGATGTATCTCCTGTTGCATGGTTTACAGTACAATTAAGCAAAGTTAGAATAACTCACCAATTCATAGTTATGTCTAGCAATACACTTGGTTATAACTTTATCAATGGAATAACTCTATCTTTTCGAATAAACAAGAGCAGAAATTTTATTTTTTACAAAGAAAATAATGAAATAAAGGTAATATATGGCATTTAAATAAAAAATTATTGTATTATATTTTTTAATCTTTAGTTTCTTATTGTTATTATTATTATTTTTTACAGTTGTTGTAATAATTTGTATATACCATAATTTAATGATATTTAAATAACAAAATAATTATTCTTTTTCAATTTGTTGTGCTCTTATTTAAAATGTTTAAGTTAATTTTTCTAGATTAAATTTATAAAAAGGTGAATCACTTACATATCCTTGTCTTACTGCCAAATTTTGAACTGAAATTATTTTGAATATTTTGAAATTTACAACTATAAAATATCAGAATCTATTTTCAAATAAAATAAATCAATTTTATGATGATCTTAATTTGATCATAACTTTTATAAAAATAAAAAGCAACTTATTATTATTATTATTATTATTATTATGGGATTTTAATAAATTTTTTTTAAAATTTGGGAAATTTTTTTATTTTACTTTCCCATTAGCTTTGTTATTGCCTTCAATATATAAACACTTTAATACCGTGTAATTTAGTGCAGTGTGTGTGTTTGTCCTAGACTCATTTAAAATTGCAGCAAGTTTAATAATGCTACATTTTATGCAGTTAAAACACTTAACATAGTTTTGTATTAATTATACTAAAGGTGTTTTTCCATTAGAATGTTGATGAATTTACTCTTTTAATGAAATTCTTATACCTGATGATTTACCTCCATTACCTTACGTTTCTGTCATCAGCACTGAAAATACTCAATTTAATCAATTTATTTAATAATGTGTTTCAGTTTTTGATGAGGAAACTTATTTGTCACTTGATGTAGATTTTATGACAATTTTATGACATTAATTTTTTTGCAAATGAAAAAAAAAAAAATAAGCAGTAATTTTAACAATTACTTAAATTGAGAAAATTAAACAAAACGCACAAAACAACAACTTTTTGGTGGAAATACCAAAATTTAAAATAGTAACCATTTGGCAACAAATCATTTTGTTTTATTGGATCAAAAACTTATAATAACCTTTTCAAAGAAATAAAGAAAACAATAATAGACTATTTAAAAAGGAGTTAAAATCTCTTTTTTCTCTAAGTTTTTAAACTTTTATTTTAATATTTATATTATATATACACATTTATAATAATAATTATATAAATTTAATTTTTTTCAATTTTTGATATCAGGGCACATGTTAATAACAATTTTACCTGAAATTTTAATTCTGTATAAATGTTTGTTTAATAAATTTTTAACAAAGTTGTAGGATTGTTATGTGCAGCTCAAAAAGATTAGTATTAAGAACTACAAGTGTCAGTTTAAGTTGCGGATCCCTAAAAAAATGATAAAAATAATTCCAAGTAATAAGATTAAAAACATCATGAAGTTTAAAATTATTTTTTAACACTATAAACCGGAACTATTTTAATTAAAGTTAGAAAATACATATAAGTTTAAGGTATAAAAAGTAGTAAGTTTCAAAAATGTCAATAGCATACCTACAAATTTAAAATCCTATGCACCAATATATAGACCAAATTCTATTTTATTTAATATAAGCAAACTCCTTGAAAAACTAATGTATTCTAGATACATTTTTTTTTTAAATACTATTACTGTTATCATTATTATTATTATTGTAAGTTGTTGTTGTTGTAATTGTTGTCATTTAGTGTTTTTATTTTTACTTTGACAATTTTTTTTCGTTGTCTTACTTATGATCGGTATGTAATAAATAACAATATCCTTTGTTAACTAAAAGTATTTTATGCAATCCATTAACTTTTGAACTTAACTTAGACACTTGGCTCGTAATTACATGGTGTGAGGTTCAATTCCCCCATACGTATCTTGAATTGCTGCACTCAATTTGTTTCTCTACTAAAACCTTGATTAAATAGTGAATGTTTTGGAGTTTAGAAAGTTGCAATTAAAATAAAAGTCAAAAAGAAAAGTAAACGAGCCTTGACTGTAGTGAATCTAGAGAAAAAAATTTGATGGAAAAACACTTTGTTCAATATCTACTGCTTATGAATACAAAAATAATTTATTTTGTAAGCAGCAGATATTTGGATCTTTATCTCAAGTTTTTTTAATAATCATTTTAAATGTTATTTAATATTAGTGATGTTTTATGTTAACCAAATTATGAACTAATTGATTTTTTTTGAGTATTTCAAATTTATTAAAACCTTAGCTAGGTAATTTGTACTGTATACATATATAATTTGCACTTTTTATGTATTTTAAAGGTTTTCACAAGTAACTATATCAACTCACAATGGTTTAGTTATAAACTACTGAATCCTTTTATGGCTTCAGAAATCAGATTGAATATAGATCCAGGAGCTACATTTATGAATTTCAAAATGGACTTTAGATTTATTGAAACTATGCAGTATCAATACAGTAAGATTTTATTTAGTTATTGACTATTTATGTTATTAACCAATTTTTCTGTTGTAGAATAAAGTTTATACAACAATTAAAATTATCAAAAGAGCTGAGTATATGAGCATATATATGAAAATATGAGTATATCAAGAAAGTATCCACAAGCAATTCCGTAATATTCAGTGGTATGGGCACCCAAACCAATCTCCTCAAACTAAAAATTCCATAATTCATAAAATCAAACTATCAAAATAATGGCAGACTTTATTTATACTGCGTACTTATGTATGTAATTAATTTCATGAAGGAGTGTTACATTTTAGATGAAAAAGTGCAATAAAGAACTTTAATTTTTTTAGATCAGATTAGTAAACAAGATCTATGAATACCCTCTAATTATAAGTTTTTGTCTATCAAAATAGTATTTGGGAAAATTATCATAAGCTGTAGCGCCCAAACTTCAACTAGATACGACCCTATATATATATATAAAACTTTGTGTGTTTTTTCAATGAATAACTAAATAAAAACTATAATAAAAGTTTTATAACAGTTTATAACCTCTATTTATAACAGTTAAAACCTTATAGATATCAAATTGCTATTAGTTTTTCCTATCATATCTTTAGCACACAATGTTTTAAGAAGAATATATATATATATATATATATATATATATATATATATATATATATATATATATATATATATATATATATATATATATATGTATATATGTATATATATATATGTATATATATATATAAGTGTTGCGACTTTGTTTACATATTCATTAGTACTTTGTCTTTCGTTTTTTATCAAATAAACTCAACTACATCTAACGAGAAAATAGTTATAATAAAACAAAAACGTTCACATTTTGCGGTCCCACCCCTATATATATATATATATATATATATATATATATATATATATATATATATATATATATATATATATATATATATATATATATATATATATATATATATATATATATATATATATATATATATATATATACATATATATATATATATATATATATATATATATATATATATATATATATATATATATATATATATATATATATATATATATATATATATATATATATATATATATATATATATATATATATATATATATATATATATATATATATATATATATATATATATATATATATATATATATATATATATATATATATATATATATATATATATATATATATATATATATATATATATATATATATATATATATATATATATATATATATATATATATATATATATATATATATATATATATATATATATATATATATATATATATATATATATATATATATATATATATATATATATATATATATATATATATATATATATATATATATATATATATATATATATATATATATATATATATATATATATATATATATATATATATATATATATATATATAGGGGTGGGACCGCAAAATGTGAACGTTTTTGTTTTATTATAACTATTTTCTCGTTAGATGTAGTTGAGTTTATTTGATAAAAAACGAAAGACAAAGTACTAATGAATATGTAAACAAAGTCGCAACACTTATAAACATGCCGTCTTCAAAATATAAATTAATTCCAAAAAGCCGTATAATTTCAATGATCATGGATAAAATTAGTTACAGACGAATCAAAACCATATTAAACAAAGAAGGAATCGATGTATCAATTGGTTATATAAGTAAGTTAAAGAATGAGATTACTTTAGACCACCAAAAAATTGCAAATGATCAAATAAAGAAGAAACGCCACGTGCCGCCATTAAAGCTCTCAAGTACTCAAATTCAAAAACTCAAAAGATTGGTTTTAAAAGACTCATGCCCATCAATTTCACATCTTGCACGATTGTTTGGTGTGTGCAGAAGAACAATTAACAACTATATCAAAAAAAGATTCAAATTACACCAATTCAAAAAGCAAAAAGTTCATGATTTGTCTCCGGCTGCTAAAGAAAAGAGGTTTCAAAGATCTGCTCATTTATCAAATTTTATAAAGAGAAATTGGCGAAAAATAATAACAACAGACGAGAAACTATTCCACATTTCAAATTGTAATCAAGAAAATGATTATTATTATAGTAGAGATAGAAAAAACATTCACAAAAAGTTTAAAACAAGACCTAAAAGTTTTTCGAAGGCAATAATGGTATGGGGCGGAATTTGTTATAATGGAACCACAAAACTTAAATTTGTTAAACAAGGTGTTAAAATTAATGCAGATTGTTATATTGATAACATTTTTAAACCATTTTTCAGTGAAGATTGCAAGCATTTATATCCTAAAAAAGATTTCATATTCCAACAAGACTTTTTTTTTTAAATGTATGGCGCCGAGCCATACATCTAAAAAGACAATTTCATTTTTAAACAACAATAGAATCAAATTCATTCCACCTGAAATGTGGACACCATTTAGTCCAGATAACGCTCCAATGGACTTTTGTATTTGGGGATATATGCTTGAAAAGTTAAAAGATCGAAAAGTAAAGACAATCGACGGCTTGAAACGCCACATTATTGACATATGGAAGAACATCCCTCTCTCACTCATCAGAAAGTGTCTAAAGAGTTGGTCTAAACGTTGTAAAATGATCTACGAGAATCAAGGAGGTCAAATTGAACATTTAAAATAGTTCATATTTAACAGAAAATTAATTATTACAATCAGAAAAGTGTTCACATTTTGCGGTCCCACCCCTGTATATATATATATATATATATATATATATATATATATATATATATATATATATATATATATACTGAAGCTTCCAGCAACACTATTTTAGTGTGGCATCAATTATGTTAGTCATATAAATAAATTAGTTTCAATAAGACAGTATTTGGTGGCATATCTGTTTACTTTTAAAACAAAAATCTATTTTATTACAGCAACAAGGCATTGAATCAACTAGATTAATAAGAACATTCTAAGAAATGTTACACTAACATTTTTTATTCAAAAAAAAATTGTTGATTGATTTTCTTTTAACTAATTGTAACTTGATGCAATCTCAAAGATGCTCTGAAGTATTGAGATCTAGGCTCTGTAAAGGCAAGTTATCAGAGAAAAGTACTATTCTCTGATAACTCAAATATAATCTTTTGCTCTTTTAATTCTGGTTTTTAAATTTCTTGCAGATATCAGCGTTTTTATAATTAGTTGGCAGCCATTGTATTGGCCTATTTATTGTATTTTGTATATATGAAGAGTGTGTTTTCAAAATGTAGTATATCCATTTTTGTGGTATTGAGATAATTGACTTTTTTTCTTACACTAAGATGACTCATATATTTGGAAAATTTATTGTTGCTTAATTTATATATACTTAATGTATATTAGATAATATTAATAACTAAAATATAGGTAAATGAAAAAATATATATTTTGTGTTTATAAATTCGCATTTACATTTAAAACACTATATATCCAATTATAATGTATTATCAAAAAAGCAGTACTTCTATTATATTAAGATAAATATCCGCATCTATATATATATATATATATATATATATATATATATATATATATATATATATATATATATATACATATATATATATATTTATATATATATATGTATATATATATATATATATATATATATATATATATATATATATATATATATATATATATATATATATATATATATTATATATATATATATATATATATATATATATATATATATATATATATATATATATATATATATTTATATATTATATATATATATATATATATATATATATATATATATATATATATATATATATATATATATATATATATATATATATACATATATATATATATACAGTATTGGACAAAACATTTGCAACCAACATCAAACAATGCTAAAAAGTGTTCCTAATTTTACATGTCTTAAAAACAAAACGAACTATACTACCACAGCAAACAGTTCAGGAGTCTGGAGTCATAGCATGCCATGATATGAGAAATTAGTTGCCAGGTAACTGCACACAGGCAGAATTTCGTTGACAAGTGCCATTTTGCAGCAGACAAAACAAGTGCAATTTTTTTGGTTTGTTTCATTTTCTTAAGTCTGGTCCATGTCAACATCACGGAAGTTTTTTGAATAATTAAAGGAAGTATCCAGAAGTTTCCAGAAGTTCCCAGAAGCATGCAGAAGCTTCCAGAAGTTTCCAGAAGAAGCATCTGGAAGCATCCAGAAGTATCCAGAAACATTCAGAAGCATCCAGAAGCTTCCAGAAGCATCGAAAAGAAACATCTAGAATCTTCCAGAACAGGTTCACACAGGTTCATTTTACTATATAAGAGACATGTAAACAGACATGTAATTCAGTCAGTATATGGAAGTCAATCAGTCAGTATTATCAAGACAGTTTATCGAAGTGAGTTTTATCAAAGTGTTTTATCAAAGAACATCAATACAAGAAGTGTTTCATTACATCAATACAGTCCACATCCAACCAAGACGTTGTGTTCAACAGAGCATTATTGTATCATCACAAGGTAAATGTAACACGGTCAGCCTTGAGATGCCTAGTTATTTATTTATTATTTTTATGACTTCAAGTGCTCCCGACAGTCTTGGATTGGAACTGAGAAAAAAAAATTATTGAAGATAACATAAGTGGAATGTCACAAAAAAGTATTTGTGATGAATATCGCGTGAAAAAATGGACCGTATCAAGACTATGTTCCAAATATCATTCTACGAGGAAGTTGGCAGCAGATAACAAAAGTAGAAGACCGTGTTCCACCACTTCTAGAGAGAATTCTATTATTGTCAGATCCGTCAAGAAGGATCCCTGGATATCATCAGTCGAGATGCAAAAGCAATTAGAGCTGCCTGTATCAGACCGAACAATCAGACGATGTGCTGTTGAAGCCGGATTGTTTTTACAATGCTCTGCAAAGAAACCGCTAATTTCACTAAAGAACCAGAACAAAAGACTCC